TCTGGAATTAATCCAGCCCATAAATAACAATTATACCACGAGCCCGAGTTGGATACGCGATGTTAAATAACCAAGGAGTCGCGTAACACGGTTAGCAATTGTCTTCCGGGATGGCTTAATGATTGGTATCCAGCGGGGACTGAAAAAAATCCCCCCCCCGCCCCTCCCAAATACAAAAGCGGCCATGCTTCACCAACTAGAGTACAGAGTGTTAATGTTAATGACTTCAACGATTGCGATCCTCGTTTTATATTAAATGGAAAGCCTCATACCAGGGCTAACGATTGTTAGGCTCCGGTCAAACGATCGCAACATTTCAACACAACACATCGCAATATTGTTGGGTGCAACATGTTGAGCGCGTTTGGCCACCCTGTTGCGACGTGTTGCGACATGTTGAGTATTAAAAATCGAACTAGTGTGCATGCCAGGGCGCAACATTGTAGCACGAACCTGGCCAGACGACTGCAGCATCATGCAACATCCACGAACGTTGCGTGAATAATTTGACCATTTTCAAACTTGGGCCAACAACACCCAACATGTCGCAACAGGTTGACCAAACGCGCTCAGTGCAACAATGTTGCAATATGTTGTGTTGAAATGGTGCGATCGTTTGGCCGGGGCTTTAGATTTTGATAAAATTCCTCACCAATTGTTCCTCCACGGTTCCACTTTCTGAATCGTTCTCTATACTGCCGCTGCATGTATCTTCAGTCTTTAGACACATGGTCCTTAGTTCCAACAGGTTTCTGTTGTCTTGGTCAGCCTTGTTCATAGTTAATATATAATAACATAATAATATTATTGTAATTCAACTATTCGGGCCTCTCTCATAATTTTAGGCTTTTGACGTTTACATTATGTATTTGTATTCATAGTATTGTTGTTACTTTTAGAATTCCATGTACCTTTCAACTTTTTCATTAGGTTTGTCATTTTATTTTCCGAGGGCCACAAGTTACAACATATTACTGACAATACATCTGTACGAAGTAATACTTCTGTAATGGCAATAGCTTCTAACTTGAAAAAGTAAACAATTAAGAATTAGTCGGCAAAATCGCGGGGAGTAACGGTCGTCAATTAGCCGACGAGGCCGTAAGTCGAGTGGGAGAAATGAGACGATAGTCTACAAGATTGAGCCGGAGAATCGTTTCGCTATTAACAATGCAAGTTATTTAAAAAAAGAATCTTACAGGCAGATATCTGTTTAGACTGTTTCGGATGACAGGTAAAAACAAGGATTTCCTCACCATATGAGGTAGTCGTGATGTTTTCCGGAATAGTAAGTGCACTCATAAGCTCCCGTCCCTTCTTTTACCTAACAATATAATTACTTACGCTTCTAGTTGGAATTAAGCAAACAACCAATGCCGTAAAAAAGGTTAATTTAAGGATACTGCTAATCCTTGATCGCACCATGTGATGGCTTCTTCAAATAGATTCAGCTTCGCACAGGTCCTCGCACCTAATATTGCCACAAAGAGACAATCACATCACTTATGGCTCATGTTAAAGTTCCTTGATAGTCCGTATCTAGGCGCGTACAGTGTATTAACAGCTCAGTTCAGGATATTGGTCGCGTCGTAAAGAAAGACATAACTACGTCATTTAACATCACGGGAGCAAAAGAAGCGAGTCTTAACGAACGAATACTGTACAACAACATTCTTTAGATAGTGTATTTTACATTTATTTGGTCGCTGAGATGTTTCGAGCTGGGAAAATGGAGCCAAAGTTTTGTACTATGCAATTCGCCACACGACAGTTTTACAGAAAAGATTTCATTTTGGAATATGGCGTAGCTCCCAAGAATTTCTTGAAGCTCAGGGGAGAGCTCCTCGCCCATGCCCAGAAAGTGAGAGTCAAATGATTCCTGTCGAGCAAACTTTTGATTGGAAAGAATTACAAATTCTTTTTTTTCCGAAAAGTTAATTTTAATGGATAAATCTTTTGTTAGCAATTCTTCTTTCACTTATAGTACTCCCAATATTTGCAGTGCAGAAATCACAAAACGATAAACAAGTTTTGTGAAATACTAACAGACGTAGCTCATTTTTAAATACTAAATAGAGAAAACGTTCTGAAACTGACGCATACTAATTCGGTTGCAATTTAATTTTCTTCCACATTTTTTGTCTATGCTAGTATTACAGCGCGGAGATATAAATCGGCTTCAGAATGAGGATATACGTACGGAACAAGGGTAAGAGATTAGTTACAGATTATGGTTTATTTTAGCTGTGGAATTTGGCAGAGTGCACGATATAAACAATTAACGCCAGGTTTTAACAAATAAATACTTATGTTCCCTCTTTATTGGTTTTAACTGTACTTTACTGTGTTTAATCAACTGTATCAAAGCCACGTTTACCTGTTTCTATCGCCTTCATATAACCTGGCTGGAATTGCCTGGCGACCTCTGAATCGGCCTTTGCCTCGTGATAATTACCTATCGTTGAAATCAAGTACTGTTAAAACCACAACAACAAGGCGTGGAACAGAACAAAGCAATCCCTCCAGTCGCCATTAAAAAGATTAAAAACTGTGAAAAATATAGAATGATTCTCACCCAAATTGAAATGGGCCTTCGCTCTGTTCGTGAACAGTTCAGCATTAAGGTTTTTATCGTTACAGTTTACACTGATTCCTTCAGTGTAACAGACGATGGCGTAGTTGAATTCTCCTTTTCTGTATTCACTTTCGCCTTCATTGTTGAAAA